ATGCGAGAAGATTCAATTACGACAAAATAAACCAACAACTAAATTGACAAGAAACAAAACATAAACGGGTAAATCATAGGAGGTAGAGAAAACTTCAAGAGTGTCACATAATTTGATAAAGATGGACATAAGCAGATTCTGATCATCTGTCGGCAAAGAAGAAAACTGATTTTGTTGTACCATGGACAACATAAATGGTTTTAATTCAAAATTATTTACTTCCACAATAGTACGCACAATATTGGAATAAGGCTTTGTAATGTTAGGGTACACGTAGTCCTTCAAAGTGTGATTTTGGATTGAGTTACCATATTGATAAATTCAATGTCATAGCAAATGTTGAGTATTTTTGAATGAAAGTGGGATAACATTTCCATGGATTTTGTGACGAGTTTGTCGAAGACGACAAAAGGATGTGATTCCATCTAGGTCATTGTTAATAAACTGGCTAAGTCAGCTCATTTCATTCTGATTAAGATTAGTTATCATTTGTAAAAGTTAGTTGAGTTGTATATTGAGAAGATTGTTAGCTTGCATGGTATTACTTCGAGTATTCTGTCAGATATAGATATGAGATTCACATCGAGGTTTTAGCAGAGCTTACAGAAAGCGTTGGGTACTAAGCTGAAGTTGAGTTTTGCTTATCATCCGCAGATAGATGGTCAGACAGAGAGGATTATTCAGTCTTTGGATGATTTGTTGAGAGCATGTGTTTAAGAGCAGGGAGGTAACTAAGAGAGCTACTTATCGTTGGTTAAGTTTACTTACAACAACAATTTTCATTCTATGAGGTGACTACGATAGGGAGGTAACTACGATACTTTTCAAAGCTTTGTATCGTATGAGGTGTAGGACACCATTATGTTGGTATGATTATGGTGAGAGTATTGTACTTGGACCTAAGATAGTTCAATAAACTAATGAGAAAATCAAGATAATCCAAGAAGATGAAAGCTTCGTAAAGTTGTTAGAAGAGCTATCATGACAAAAGGAGGAAAGCACTTGAGTTCTTAGAGGGGGGGTCATGTGTTCTTAAGAGTTACTTCGGTAACTAGTGTTGGTCGCGCGTTTAAGTCTTAGAAGCTTACATTGTGCTTCATTGGTCCTTATCAGATTCTTCAGCGAGTAGGAGAAGTGACCTACTAAGTTGTGTTATTTCCATTTCTTTCAAATCTACATGATGTATTTCATGTGTCGCGGTTGAGGAAGTATATTCCTGACACGTCTCATGTGAATCAGTTGGATGATATGCAAGTTAGAGAGAACTTGACAGTTGAGACTTTGCCATTGAGGATTGACAATCGTGAAGTGAAGCACTTGCGAGGCAATGAGATCGCTTCAGGAAAAGTTGTTTAGGGAGATTATACTGGTGGAAGTGTGACATGAGAGCTCGAGAGTAGGATGATAGAGTCTTATCTAGAGCTTTTCTCGTCAAGTAATTTTCAAAGGCAAGATTTCTTAAGTGGGGGAGAGTTGTAACACCCTGATTTAATTGGTCTTTTATTTAATTATTTATTGAATTATTTAATTAAATTATTGATTTTGTTGATTTATGATGTGTTTGTCCAGTGTTTGCACTTGTTATGAATTGTGCATGATTAACTAGATTTTTGTGAAATTGAATTAATTAGAATATGAGAAATTAATAGAATAGTAAGAGTTGAGCTTAAAGTATAAATAATTGAAATTAGGTGGTTAAGTGGAGAGAGTCTAATGTGTTGGGCCAAAATTATAATTATAATGAATTTAATTAAGTTACTATATATTTTAAGAGAATTAGAAAAATAAGGTTTTTTTTGGGAGTTTTATTGTAAACGTGAAAAGAGAAGAGTTAGAGAGAAAGAGTCCTGGAGAGCTAGGGCTTTGGGAGAGGAGACCATAGGAGATTTCTTTCTTCGCTTGCTGGATTCACAAGGTAGGGAGATTATTCATCTAAGAGTTTCATAATCATGAAAGGGTAGAGAGGTTTCCCTTAACTTCCAATAGGGTTCTCTTTTCTATAGTTTTTATGTTAATATAATAAATCATGATTGTGGTTATGTTTTTATGCCATGAATTGATGGGAAATTCGTGTTTGATGTTATGGTGCTTTATGTTCATGAGGTAATTGATTAAATGATGAAAACGTGTTGAAATTTGGGGTTATAGGGTATGAACACAATTAAGTTAATTCATGGTAAAAGTGGTGGATTAAGTGTGTAATCATAGTAGGATATGTATCTGATATGGTGCTACTATTTTATGGTGTTATAAGATGTCTTTGAATGTTATAATGAAATTTAGGATAATGTATGAGAGTTAGGGAATGAGAAAGATGAAATTACATGTCAAAAAATGGGATTTTTGGATTTCTCGTTGATGTCAATCGACTTACATTTTTGGCTTGCATGCGTGTAATTTTGGAAAAATCTGGAAAAAAAATTGAACTATGTCAATCAATTGATTTTTTGAAACAATCGATTGCTCTCAGACAAAACCTGAAAAATTGGAACGCACAATGTAATAGGAACTGATGTCAATCGATTGCACCCATGTGTCGATTGATGCTAGTTGATTTTTGAAAAATTGTTGAACTAAATCATATATTTTTACTTGATTGTTTTTGCGATAACTTTTGTTTCGTAAGTTCAAACGAGGTGCGGTTTGAAGCGTTGAAAAGCTAACGCGTATAGGTACTTCATTGTAGTGTATTGTGGGATAATTGATGTGTGTATGTATGTTCAATGTGTGAATATATGTGTGAAATGTATATATAATTGTGCGAGTTATCGTACATGCCTTCTAATGAATTAATGAGATAAGTAGTTCAGAGTGAGAACTACTGGTGATGCATTTAATGCATGATTGTTTACAGTTAGAATAGGGATGCATTCATTGTTATGTTGTTGTTACATAATTGTTTACGGTCACATGTGGGATTGTATTCATTTGTTATACTATTGTCATTGTTATGTTGTTGTTGTATTATTGTTTACAGTCAGATGTGGGACTGTATTCATTTCGCACAACATGAACCACGATGTTGTCCATGCCTTCAGTTGCGACTCTGATTGTTGCAGTTGTGGCTGGATCCAGAGCAATTGTTCTAACGATGATTGAATTTCTATTGAGAGAAGTCATCGGAGTTGCGTTAAGCAGTAGTATGCAAGGCAATGTGAGAACTAGCGTTGTACATTTTTTCCATATCAGATTCCTTCAAGGTGAGCACGGTGTGGGATTGAAAGAATGATGACAATGGATTGCTTTGGTAGGTTGGGCTAGCAACCCCATGCTACGACTCAGAAAGACCATAAACCAGTTGAATGACTAAATGATGATTTCTAATATGTGCTCCAACGTTTTTCAACAGATCAGAAAGTTGCTTGAGACGTTGGCAATATAGGCAGAGACATTAAAAATATCTTTCATGTGGGTGGATAAAAAGTCTTACTTAAGAGCCATGGCGGTGGATCCCTTTTCCAAAATAGTGATGCGGGTTTTGATTGTCCTAAAAAAATAAGCTAAACGCTATCAGGCAGCCATGACAGTGGATCCCTATTCCGAAATAGTGATAAAGAGATCCAGAGAGGTGGTGGAATAAATCCATTGGAGCACTGTGGAATCAAGGGTTGTTCATATTTCAAATTTAGCATCAGTGGACGTAGGTTTTTCTTTTTCTGGTTGCTGAATGATAAGATGGACCACTGTGTGAGCACTGGTGTGAATTTCAAACAGTTCATCATGCATGGTGTATTGATCTTTCTTCATCTCTAGCACAAAGGGAATGTTGTTTTTGATGTTAGAGATAGCGAGGGTTGTGTGACACTCCTGTCTATTGGAAGAGAAAAATGACTTGGTGAGGTTGTCAATCTTGGCATAAGCATGCTCAGACTCATCAGTGGAAGAGAAAGACATCGTGATATATATATATATATATATATATATATATATATATATATATATATATATATATATATATATATATATATATATATATATATATATATATATATATATATATATATATATAGAGAGAGAGAGAGAGAGAGAGAGAGAGAGAGAGAGAGATGGCAGTTGGTGAACGAGGTAGTGGATGACGCGGCTGACAGCGGCACAAAGAGTTCCTTGTGGTCAAGGGGCAGCTGCACGGTGAGTATAAGGATGAGAGGGCAGCGACTAATAAAACATAAGGGTAAGAAATTTTTTAGAGTTTTTTAAATAAAAATACTACTGATACCATGAAGAAAATCAATCTTTAAATAGACGGACACACACACGCACGCACGCACACATGCACACACACAATAAGTAAAATCAAAGAGAATAATTATAAATAATTAAAAATATAATTACATAGAATCAAACTTAATTAAAAGAAAATATTATATTGTATCATATTTTTATCTCAAAATTAATAATTTCAATTTGAGATGCGATTGATAAGACTACAAAAGATACAAATGATAGGCGACAATTCCTACTATAAATACTAGCTTCCAGACGGTCGCGTGTCCGTCTGTCCGCTTTTTTAATGGGCATAAGTGAAAATATAAATGATACTTTTTATTAAAATAAAATTTTAAAATATATAATATGTGAAAGTTAATAATAAAAAATTATGTGGAAGTTAATAAAAAAAATTATTAAATAAATTATATAATAAAATAAGGATGAAAATGATAAAAGAAAATAGCCAACGCCAAAATAAAATATTTCCTTTAGGTCATGGTATTAGCATTCTCTAATTAGCACAATAGGTTACAATAATTACTTTACTAACTTTTTATTTAAGAAGCAGTTGAAGGAAGCTGTATAAGAAGATTTTCCAATATCCTGGTAGAATCATGCTGTTGGTAGGTTACAAAGATTATAAAAACCCGCACTCTCTCCATCTCTTTACTGCAAATATTCTACTTTCACACCTCTTTCCATACTCTGCTACTTTCACTTTTCACACCTCAGCCTCTATTTTTCTGTACTTTCTTTCATTCTTCCATTCCTCTTTGTCTCTAAAAACATTCATGGATGAGGACATTCTGAAAACTTTGGAAACTGATGAAAGCAGCATGGACATGATGACAATGATGATGCAAATGGAAAAGTTTCCTGAATTCCACCCTCCTTTTTATAACAACAACAACATTCTCCATATCAATCTTAACAACACATATAACGAGCTCCCTTATGGAAACTCAAACGTAACTTATCCACAACCACCACTCTCTTATCCTCAACAACCAATGACACCGTCTATTCAACACAACGGAGTTCAAATTCCATCCGGGAGAATCAACAATGCTTTGTTCTCGTCGTACTCTGATAAGAAGAACTCAATGGCAATCATGAGAGAGATGATATTCCGTATGGCGGTTATGCAACCGGTTAATATAGACCCAGAAGCAATCAAGCCACCAAAGAGAAAGAACGTGAAGATTTCAAAGGATCCACAAAGTGTAGCAGCGAGACACAGACGAGAAAGGATTAGCGAGAGAATAAGAATCTTGCAGAGATTAGTCCCTGGTGGAACTAAAATGGACACAGCTTCAATGTTAGACGAAGCAATACATTATGTGAAGTTCTTGAAGAAACAAGTTCAAACGTTGGAACAAGTTGGAGCAAATAGACCTATGAATGTTGTTGGTTTTCCAGGAATGGTTTCTAATGGAAACTCTAACTACAACTCTTCTTTTCTTAGAGGTTGTTCATCACCTTGTCAAATGGTGGGTCCCACTTCCAAACAAATGCTTAGTTGATAAATGATAGAGAGAAATTTGATTTTCTTGATATAATGTTCAATATATATTGAAATATTTAAGCATATTGTTGTTGGATATGGTATTGAGGTTAATGCTGGAAAATTGTAAGCAAGAGTTATAAGCTAATAATGAATATCTTTTTGTTGTCCAATCTTTTTTTAGCTTAATTTCTGTTTTTGTTTTATTATTACTTGTTGGGGGATATGTCACATGCATATGCAATTCAGAGTTCAGTCAACATTATTAATGATATTCAGAAGCATAGTTAACTATATAAAAGAAAATATATTGCCAAAATAATTTGATACGTAAATATTTTTATTCATGCATCTTATAACAAAATAATGAAGGTGAAGCGCATATATAATACTAATAAATTGCATTGTGCACGAATGGTATTGAATTAATAATTTTTAAAACATTCCTTTACTTATACGATTTGAGTTTGTGTCTCAAAGTAAGCAGCAAATTATATCATTTAAGGCAAAGTGAATTGAGGTCAAGTCATGGACTAGAAATTTGTGGTTGCAAAATATAGTGCAAATTAAAGAGAAAATATATGAACCACTCAAAATATTATGTACCTAGTGGTACGGTTCTTCAATGTTCCCCACTTAAATTACATTTTGCTAATTCTACCAAAATAAATAAATAATTAGATTTAATTTATATTTCAAATATTATATTTCATTTTAGATTGTTCAATCCCATGCTCTTGTAGCTGGTTTCTTGGAAGAAAATAAATGCGTCGGTGGCTGAGGGTAGAAGAAGTAGGTTGCTCCCATAGCAAAGTCGAATAATTTTAGTGTTCATGTCTCAAGGATCATACCTTTTAAATGTTCCATTATTTCTTACACCATGTGATCTAATATTATTTAATACTATTTTTTTTCAATCTTTAATAAATTCTATTATATATTAAAGAAAAAACAAGGTGAGATGAATATGGAGAAAGGTTCTAGAGAATTCAAGCCATGTGAAATAGGGTCCCAATATAGGCAATGAGATAGGCTTTTATTTATTATTATAGGGGGAAAAGGTAAACAACTAAGAGGACTCTGACCATTGCATATGCGTTATCTCTTCTTCACTTTGTAACCTTCTTTCTATATTTGGTGCATTGTATTGTATCCTCCTCTCTGACACATTGATCCTCTTGTCATATTTCTTTTTTACATTTCATTTGGATTTACTTTCTGTCTTTTATATATATATATATATATATATATATATATATATATATATATATATATATATATATATATATATATATATATATATATATATATATATATATATATATATATATATATATATATATATATATATATATATATATATATATATATATATATATATATATATATATATATATTTGTTGAGATATATATAACATAATCCAAGTTAATTAGCATTTATGGTTTCTTGTTTAATTTATTATATTTGTTACTTAATAGTCAAATAACTTAGGTGTAAATAAATAAATACTTTATAATTTATTTTTGTAGTACATTCATTCAATAATATCAATTTTTTTTTTCATATTCTCTCTCTTTCTTTTCTTATTAAATGTGTCTCACGTTGTTATCTCATATTGTTAATACAAGCATTAATTACAAAAATATGAAAAGGATCATGTAATAACAGTTTTGTGAAAAAAGTCGAAATAGTCAGTTATAACTGTGAAGATCTTGACAACTTTGATTTATCGAAGAATAGTATTACCTCTAGTCGAAAGTAAATAGAGGCTAGGGACTCTGTTGATTTTTGAGACTTAATGAAATCGAGAGTTCCCAAGCCGTTTACTTTACGCAGTAGAATGAGGTGTAATTAGATAAGTTTAGACAATTATTCAAGGACGCGTGGGAGCTTGTCGAAAGTGAAGGGTGCATGAGAATGAGATGTGGCGTGTTTTGCTTAGTCAACTGTTGCAGACTGTTAATTTAGAATTAGTATATAAGTAGCAATTACTTTGGGTTTTAGGGGTCCACATATTTGTATATAAATTTAAAATTCAAATTATTTGTGCGTTTGTGAAAAAAGAATGAATAATGTATGTATATGCATTCTACTTTTATAAATTAAAGTTGTTATATTAGTCATTTATCACACTTGAATTAGTCTCGGTCAATTTTCTTTAAGTCTTTTCCTTGCATTTCGATTTCTTATTTACTTTCAATCATTATTATTAAATTCTCTTATATTTCAACTTTGATGTTACACTTGTTTAAACTTATGATTGACACAAATATGTATTGAGATATTTTCGAGTTTAATCATTTAAGTGAAAGGAAATTCATTTTTGTTTACTAAATTTTACAGTAAAAAAATTGGTATGTCGAATGAGACTTTTTTGTGTATTTGTTTACAATATTGCTTTTTTTTTTGTGTGTGTGTGTTTGTTCTTAATATTGCATGATTTAATCTTTAACTTAAACTTAAGTCTACTATTTTATTATAAATTCGTAATAAATATTTGTATATATATTTATAATTTAGTATAAAAAAATATATAAAATTATAATAATTGTAAAAAAAATTAATGTTTAAGAAGTATTTTGGAATAAATAAAATTATTTTAAAATAGAAATATTTTCTCAGCAGAAAAAGAAGAAAGGAATGGAGATGAAAATTGTGAGAAGATTGAGATGAAAAAAATTGTATAGTTAATATTTTTTATTATAGAGTTGGTGACTACATATATGATATATCAATACATATCATAACTATTATTTGTAGCAGATCTATAGAGTTTCAATGGTGCAAATCAAAGAAGTGTGTTGATGTATTTAAATAGATATTAAAATAATAGAAATTAAAGTAAAATTGAATAAAATAAATAAATTGGTTGAAAAAAGACAATGGGTAAATTAAAGTGGATCGGATGAACAAAACCTAAAATAATTGATTTCAATTTGACCACTCTCTGCTACATGAGGTAAAATAATTGATTTTAATTTGATCACTCTCTTTTATATGAGGTTGAAAGTATTTCATTTTGATTTGATCACTCCCTACATAAGCTAAATGCAATAGATAAATGGCTGATTTCCTTAAAATAATAATTTATTTCTTAAAGTCTATTTCCCATGATATTGTTCATTTAAAAAAATTAACTATAATTGTAAATATTAATATATACACTTTCCTGTTAACCTTTTATATACTTGAATACTGAATTGCTAGGGTTTAAATTACTGTAGGTACAATTGTTACTTAAAAGCCAAAGCACTTATCAAAGTGGTTGGATAGGAATAGCCTTACTTTCTAGCAAGTATGAACCACTTTCAAGAAGCCGATGAAAGAGCAAGTATGAGCCACTTCAAATAGCAAATCCTATAAGTGCAGAACCATCAATTAACTTCCTATCATCCTCTCACACACTCGGTCACATCCTTCTGATTGTTTCTGAAACAAATTAAGGTTCAATTCCGTTGTATTTTGTTCATATGTCTTTGTTAAATAAACTATGTATTCTAATGTTTTTTTTGGTATTTGTAGCTTCCTTTTGAGTTTTCTGGAGTCATGAATGACTCGTTATTTTGAAGTTATGAATAACACACCCAAATATTTTGTGCTAAAAATGATTTTCATTTCGAAGGTAAATATTTTACTCAACTTTTCATTTTTGAATCTGAAACATTAAAGCATTATATTTTTGAGGAATTAGACACAAAAGCCTAATATAAAGAATTCTATATGTCATATTTTTAACTCTTAAAGGTTAGTTATTAATTTGATTGAGTTTTATTGTAATGAGCTTTTATTTGTTGAGTGTTTCTAACCTCCTATATTTTTCTTATTGTTTGTTGCTCTAGAAAATGGAAGTAGGATTTGTATCTAGAAAATGGAGGTGGATCTATATCTATAGTTGCTCTAGAAAATGAGAAGAGTGTGGTTTTATGCCATGTGATTTATTATAAATTTGGTAACATTATTTTAGTTTTTTTAATTATTTTTTTTAATTTCACTAAAGGTTGACTTTAATGTCTTATCTTTGGAGAAAGAGCATTGTTTTCTAAGTTTTTTTAATTCTCTAAAAAGTTTTGTTCTATAAGTTTTTCTTTTGTTCTCTAGATAAGTTTTGTTTTGTGCATGTAGAAAGTTATTGTTGCAGTAGTCTTGTTTTTGTTCCTGTCTAATGAACTATTGGTGTTAATGATAATGCTCTTAACATTATATAAAAAGTTGTCGTGCACCTTCTAATTCATTTAAAGATGGTGTTAGTTGAATTCAAATATATTTTAGATAATTTCAAATTTGTACTGGTTTTGGTTATGTACTATATCTTATTAATTTATTATTTATATTGTTTAGCATTTAATTTAATTTTTAATGTTATTTAATATTGTTTTTTGATGATTTAGTATCTAATTTTATTGAAAATATTCAACCGTGTTTATCGATTTTAGAAGGATGAACTAAAATGGCTCAAAATAGCCCCTTTAAGCAAATAATTACTATTTTTAATTTAAATAATCAATAGTTTTTGTTTGTTTATAAAAAAATCAGGTAACTTGTCTTTTTTTAAAATTAAAATAAAATCATATTGGATTGTAATTGGGCTTGAAATTTGAGTGGCCCAATTATTAATCGGTTGATAAGAATTTTAAAAAGTAGAAAAAATTCTGTTGGATTTATAATTCAGGCGGAATTTTGTATTGGCCTAATTGAAAATGAAATCTCAAATAAATTGGTCTAATTACTCGAACCTATTTCAATTCAAACTCAAAAAAATTGTTGGTTAAATTGGTTGGAATTAAACCTATATATGTCATCTGATGATTGGGTTAGATTGAGGTTTTGAGCTCGAATTCAAATCGGCCCGAACCAATGTCCACATATGATTGGTTTAAATGTAGCTTGATGTAGTGTGTGAGAAAATGCAGTGTGATGTAGTGTTCCACATGTATGCATAATAAAGCTTGAATCAATATACACAGTAGATAACTTCATCAGTTGCTTTTGAAAGAAGTAGATAACTTCTGAGTTCTAAA